ATACAAAAATTAGCTGGGTGTGATGTCACACGCCTGTAGTCCCAGCTACTCAGGAGGTTGAGGCAGGAGAATCACTTGAACCCGAGAGGTGGAGGTTGCAGTGAGCTGAGATCACGCCATTGCACTCCAGCCTCAGCAACAGCCTTGAAACTCCATCTCAAAAAAAAAAAAAAAAAAAGAAAAGAAAGATCTGGCCTGCTGTACCCCAAAGTGTGCAAGTAAGGGATGGGGAAGGGGGAGTGGAAGGTCCACAGGAGAGTTCCTTCCAGAGGGACCCACATGGACTTCAGGACGCATAGGATGGGAACCAAGGTGCTGCGCTGGGCAGCCCTGGGGTGGAAGGCATCCCAGGATGAAGGCAGGGGATGGAGAGGAAGGGTATTTCCTAGAAGCTGAGAACATTTTATCTGGAAAAAAGATGGATCTGATCTGAGGACAGGAAGTAAGAAGCAGGAGGGGGTTCCTCCGGGATGGATTGAAGGCACTTGGACCTGGACAGAGAGGGAGGTTTTGTGTTCATCTCTCGAGTGAGGGTGCCAAGAGAACTTCCTCTGAAGAAGAGGAGGGGACAGGGAACAGCAGGGATCATCCCTCAGTCATGAGAGCAGTTCTTTCTTAGCACTGAGCTATAAATTTCTTTTTGCATTTAGTTTTAAGTTTTCTCCTGCATTGTTCTTCCCTGTCATTATCCCTGAGAAAAGTGAGGAGCCCACCCCTTCCTGGTCTCAGCTGTGGAGATGTGAGGGGCAAGCCTATGCTCACATTTGATGGGCAGCTTCCCTGGCACCCTCATCCACACACGGGTCCCTCTTAGAAGCCAGCATAGCCCCAGCCACACTGATTTCAGGGAGAACCAGGGTCCCAGGGGTCCCAGAGCATCAGGGGATGCCACCCAGCAAACCAGGCACGTCTTACAGAGTAAAGAGAGCTGCCAAGAGTGGGGGTGGGGATGAGACCACCTCCCCACCTCCCCCAACTGCCACCACCCATTCCCAGATCCAGGTAGGAGGAGAAGGCTTAGAAAGGGGACATGTGGTTAGGCCCTGCCTGGAGGTGACACCAAAACCACAGAACACTGCTGTGAGCAGCACAGCCTCCTCGCAGCTTCTACTTCCAACACCTGTGCCTTGAGACAGGCCAGAACCAGGCGAATCCCTCTTCCACACACCTGACTGTCTTTCAGAGAGCCACGAGGTAGCCCAGGGGATTACCTGTTCTCCTGGCTACACAGCAGCTTTAGCTGTTTTTCAAATGAGATTGTTTCAAGTCCTTTTTGCCATTCTGGTCACCTCATACTTGCCCCAGTTCATCTCTGAAGGATTGATCCTCTTTCAGAGCAGAGATAGGGTCTCCCAGCTCAAAGGCAGAGCAGGCCCTTCCCCTTCTTGTAGATGGCTAAGAGGGCTTCCGCTAAAGCCACAGTTCCCAGCCGGCGTGAGTTCATCCTCCCCAAGGACATTTGGCGCTGCCTGGAAACGTACTGACTATACCACTTAGGAGGTGGGGTGGGGATGCGATTGGCATCTAATGGGTAGAAGCCAGGGCTGCTGCTAAACATCCTATAATGCACACAGGACAGTCGTCCAAAACAAATCATGATCCAGCCCCAAATGCCGACCATGCCACAGTTGGGAAAGCCTGCAATCACAGTTTTAGGTGAAAATTTCTGAAACGTTTTCACATGTGCCGCCAAAGCCCTGCCCTCCTGAAGGTAAGGGAGCCCCTAAACAAAAAGCTTTCTGCCTAGTCTGCCCGTGGCTGCCACCACCCCAGTCCCTGGAGTAATGATTGAACCATAGTTGGACACGGCAATAAATATTTGTTGAATAAATGCATTTTCCCCATTCTGTACTTGTGTCTTTGGAGGCAGGTCATGTGCAAGGCCTTTCTCTCATCTTATGACATCACCCAGGTGCACACTGAATATTAACACTGGTTATCTCTAAAACCAGTGGGATCAATATGAATGGAAGCCCCACACCTTCTCTTTTACTTTTCTGTATTCATATTTTTATCAACTTAACTACTCTCTGATGCTCATAATTCCTCAGGGCCTTGAGAATATAGGTTTAAGGGACTCTGGCATTAGCTCTTAGGGGCGTAAGGGACTTATCTCTGATCTGGAACATCTCTATTCCTCAAGAAATAAAATGAGAGTAGATGATACACAGTCTAGGCGAGGGGTGCCAGGCTGGGTTCCCCAAAACATGAAGCATTAGCATCAGTTTCTTGAATTTGGATCATAACACCATTCCTGTCAAGCTGACTCTGAGGCGTCAAGGGAAAGAGAAACGCACACACACAGCCTGTCCAGGCAGTAAGGAAACTCCACCCAAATTTGCTTTACATGGATTAACATGCGAAACAGCAAGAAGGTAAATCTATAGAGGTAAAACTGGCTGGCTGAAATCCAGCCTAATTTAACCAAAAGCTATCCTTGGCTGGGTGTGATGGCTCACACATGTAATCCCAGTGCTTTGGGAGGCTCAGGAGGGAGGGGTGCTTGGGACCAGGAGTTCAACACCAGCCTGAGCAACATTAAGAGACCCCATCCCAGCCAGGTGTGGTGGCTCATGCCTGTAATCTCAGCACTTTGAGAGGCCAAGGCGGGCAGATCACGGGGTCAGGAATTGGAGACTAGCCTGGCCAACATGGTGAAACCGTGTCTCTACTAAAAATACAAAAATTAGCTGGGCATGGTAGTGGCCGCCTGTAATCCAGCTACTCAGGAGGCTGGAGCAGGAGAAATCGCTTGAACCCCGGAGGCGGAGGTTGCAGTGAGCCGAGACCATTGCATTCCATAGCAACAGAGTGAGACCCTGTCTCAAAACTAAAATAAATAAAAAGAAAGAGACCCTGTCCCTACAAAAAGTTAAAAAATTAGGCAGGCATAGTGGCACATGCCTGTAGTCCTAGCTACTCGGAAGGCTGAGGTAGGAGGATTACATGAATCTGGGAATTCAAGGCTGCAGTGAGCTATGATCTCCACACTGCACTGCAGCCTGGGCGACAGAGTGGGACCCTGTCTCTTAAAAAAAATAAATAAATAAAATAAAATAAAATAAAAAATAAAATAAAAAATGTCTGTGCACACACACACACACATACACATATATTAGGTTGTTGCAAAAGTAATTGCAGTTTTTACTACTAAAAGTAATGGCAAAAACCACAATGACTTTTGCACCAACCTAATGTATCTCCCAAGAGCCATGATATGGTGTATTGGTATTGTCCTGGCAAAATTCCAGGGGCCCTCTGGCAGACACTGCCTTGTACCCAGAACTCACTGCCTTTGGGTCATCAAACCATCCCCTCAGTCAGCTGTCTCCTCTAAGACCCTACATTATCAACGAGATGAGGCCGCTTAACCATGGTTGACTGTAGGTGCAAACGCCATTCTCCAATGAGAAGCCACTGCTTGGCTGTCTGTGATGCAGCTTGAGAGATGGCTGAGTTGGCTGTGTATGTGCAGTCCAGCCGTGAACACTTGGCCCCTCTTGATAAGCACTTTGACTACACCAAGTCAGCCCTGTAAAAAGCAGCCTGCCTGGCCCTTTTCCCAGGCAGTCTGACATCACAGATTCCAGGCTCCGCTGTTGTTGTCACACCTGCTAGTACCCGCTGACAGCACGCTGCCCCCTCCTGACTGTACAGGGCTGACCCGGAATTCCTGGGGGCCCCACAGGCTGCCAGCGATGATGCCCACCCACCCCATACTTTGGCCCTCAGAGCTGTTTACTCTTTTCTCCTGGGCTTGAGTCTCTCCCCTCCTTCCCATTGGATCTAGGGAAGTCAGAGGGTGCCAAGGAAGCTTGCTTGCCTCTACTCAGCTGTGTTCTTTATGCCAGAACTCACTGGGCTAATGGCAATGAACCTCTGGAATTAGGAAATTGGTCTTTGACCAGACCAGTATTTTTTAGCACAGGAATTAGCACAGAGTTCTATGGAGGGTCCCCCTTGTTAGTGAACACCGGGCAGAACCCAGAGAGGAAGGTCCTGTCTGAATGAGTGCAATATCCCCAGTATAAGTCATGGTTCCAGAGCTAGGAAGATGTTGCTTTCACATAGACGCTGCACAGCCAAGTTCTTTGCCATGGAGATGGCCTCCTGGATCTTCCTTACTGCAGCAGTAAGAGTAATGGTAAGACATCACATTTACCTGATGTGATGGGTCTGCAGTGAGTCATGCAGAGAGCTTCTTTCTAATAAAGGAAGCACCCAGAGACTCAGCTCATTGAGAAGCTTCACAGCCAGAAGTAGGAAGAATGTCTTCATCTAAGGATTCATTCTTTCCCTCATGTCCTGGAGGGGCCATCTTTCTTCTCCACTCTCCTCCTGGGGAAGTGGACATCTGGACTCCTTTCTTGGGCCCATCTGATTGCTAGAGACTAGTTGGCTTCTCACAGTCACCCCTAAGACACCTGCCTTAACCCCAAGGATGGAATAATCAGAGCTCAAATGATCTATTCCCTCTGTCAGCTTGGCCCAGGCTGAGAGGGGAGATGCTGCTGCTGCCATCTTTTCTGTGACTTTCTCTCCAGCAGACACAGCCAGGACCCAATGCTGATGTATGTGAAACTAACCAATCCCTTCTCCACGCAGGCATTATTCCCAGAAGATGGCTTGAGTCCCACTTCACTGTTTCTCCCTACACTCCTCTCCTCTCCCCTCCCCTCCCTTCCCCTCCCATCTCTTCCCTTCCCTTCTTTTTAGAGATAGGGTCTTGCTATGTTGACCAGGGTAGTCTCAAACTCCTGGCCTCAGGCAATCCTCCTGCCTCGGCCTCCCAAAGTGCTGGGATTACAGAAGTGAGCCCCCACACTTGGCCCCACTTCACTATTACTTTCATAGCTTCTACAATCAGAGTCTTAGAAGTGTCTGGGAACGCCTGGCAAAGGCCAGTGATGAACGAACTTCCTGAGGCCTCTAGCCACCCATGCCTCCATGACTTTTCTCACTCTGGACCCCAACACCTCAAGGTAGTTTGGGTCTCATACCTTAACAAGGCAGTGCTGGTGACATTGACTGGAACTCTGCCAGGCCAGTAAGCCAGCGCCGGGACACGGTGCCCTCCTTCCCAGGTTGTCTGCTTAGCTGGACATCCCCCTGTGAGAGGAAGGGAGGTAACTGGTTCATCCATGGTGATAACTTGAAGCTTCTTTTCAGCTAGGAGATAGTCTCTGGGAGAACCCCTCTCTGAGTTTCCAATAACCCCAACAAAGGAATAACTTTTTTGGTAAACAGCTATTTTCCTCGACTAGCTAGTATCTTTCAACATATGCTTTTTATTTTACTGGACTTCAGATGTAAAAAGTCGCCTCACTCTACTGAATCACCTCATTTTGTTTTCTTCATAAGATCTTCCCCACTATGAATTATTTTTTTCGTTTATTGATTTGCTTGTTTGTGTGTCTCAACACGTGAGACTTCATCAGTCTCATGCACCTAAGACAGAGAGGGGCTTAAAAAAATCTTTGTGAAATAAGTGAAGTTCTCTTCCTAGTGATCATAATGTGACTGTCTGTTTAGGATGAAGAAATACAACTATTAAAGAAGAAGGAAACTTCTCCAGCTATTTGATCTGCTCAACATCCAAAAACTGATCTGGCATGGATTTTATGGCTTTATTTTGTTTTGCTTTGCTTTGTTTTTCCTTGAATTAATGAGTTGTTCTGATGTTATGGAGACGGTGTCCGTAATAGCTCCAACCTCTTGCCTCTCGGGGGAGGTAAGAACCAACTACGTGCAATCTATGAATTTCCACTTTGGCAATTAAAGGAATTATTTTTGTAACCATTAAGTCAAAAGTGACCATCAGTATAATGATGGCCAGCGGGCTGGAAGAGATGAGGTCATGTTTGATGGAAACATCCTGAATACATGTTGGGTTGCATTAACCACGACCATCCCACCACCCCCACACACACCCCACCCTCATCCTGGTTGAGCCAAGGGCCAAGGATCCCACAAAGTTAGCGTGTGCACAGCCTTTCCAAGGCAAGTGCTGTGTGTGGCTCACACACACTGCGGTCATGCAACTTCCCTTTGTTTGGCTGGTGTGAATAATAAAAGCAATTACGTGGGGAGGATCGTGGGGAGGAACAAGATGAAGGCTTCTGTCGCCCTGTACCAGCACTGCTGCAAACGGAACCTTTGATGTCCCTGGCCCAGCACACCACACCGGAAATGCTCAGCATTCTTGGGACTTTTTCATAACCAGCTTTGGAGTCCCTCAAGTTTTGAAGTAAGAAACAAAACACAAAATAACTTACATCCTATGGACTGTTTATGTTTAAGGGCGTGGGGTTCGAAAAACCAATTGGAGTCTCTGCAGGCTGAGTGAGACGTCTTTTGATCTAGCCCAACATTGCTCAAGTACATCCTTCCTATCGAGAGCCACGTCTCCCATAAATACATATCGTTCCCTCCAATGTATTCGCACACTTGGAACAAAGAACCCAGAACCCCAGCAAGCATAAAACGCATTTCCACGTGGCTTTGGAATGTATGACTTATGCTTCAGCTTAGGGCCAACGAGCAGGGAGGAAGCATCCTCTCAAAGGCATGTGCTGGGGCTTTGTGGATACTTCCACCCCCATGGGGGCATCTTTGGAGAAGTTTGGGGTATGGGTGGGTGAAAACAGGGAGCCTGTTTATATGTATGACCATGGTGTATAATATTCAAATAGTCTTGTTTAACCTTTAAGGCCAGATGCTAAGGAAAGATCAAGGCTTTAGTTCCAGGAAACAAGCCATTAGCTCTGCCGGTCAACCAGAAGGCAGAAGCTGTGGGTCTGCATTGGGGTGGGTAATGACACCAGGGTTGGACACAGGATTTGGTCTCTGCCTCCAGGATGTTTCCAGAAGGGTAAACTGACCTTTAATTAGTAAATTTGCTAATTGGCCTTCACCACTAGGGATTCTTTTTGTTTGCCACAACCTTTTGTGTTGCTCTCTTGTAGGTGACTGACTTTCCTAATGCATTTTTCAGAGAAAAACATTTCAATGTGCTTGTCTTATTTCAGCAAAGGATTGAAAGCTGAAGTGGTTTGGAGGAATCTGGCTAGTTATAAAACAGGTATAGTCAACAAAGCAGACCTTCTCCTTGCAAAAGATTCAGGAATTAGGAGAAAGAAAAAGACCGGCTGAGAGAAACCCCCCAGTGTGGTCACTTAAGGAGCGATCCCCTCTTCCTGCTGTAGAGACTACTCGGCTGGTGCAGGCTACACCCTGGGTTCTGGCTTTCACGGGAAGACACAATTATATATGCCAGTCATGCAAATGATCACCAGCCCACAGACTTTGTATTCTAAAGGGATTTATCTTAAAAGAGTCTAGAGTGTGAAAAAGCATAAACATTATTTATGTATCACCCATAACACAGATACTGTCTTGCTATAAATCCCAAATTCTCACTGGTGCTGCTAGAAGCAGACAAAGCTTACAAAGATCTGACTAGGGTTGTGTAGTCTAATTATGAGATGCATATGCTTGTATCAAACAGACCTGTTGTATTTTACCTGCACCAGCAAAGGCTGAATTCTAGCATAGCTACTCCTGATCCCCCAATAGTCTTCAGTGATACCTGCTCCCGCTAATGGATAGTTATTTGAAGTTAAACATTTTAATAACAAGAGCAACAATAACATCCCCTATTTATCGAGCCTTTACTAAGTATCAGGTTAAGTGCCCCTAAGGCATTATCTCACTGAATCCTTATGACAACCTCTCAAGTTAGGCACTGTTATCCCCATTCTTCCGATGAGGAAAGCAAAGCTCAGAGAGGCTAAGTAATTTGCCCAAAGTCGCATAGCTAGGAAATAATAGAGCCAAGATCTGAATGCCGGTCTGACTACACAGCCAGCACCCTCACTCACTAAACCTTCTAGGGCAGTGGTTCCCATTTTGAACATATATTAGAATCACTAGGGGAGCTTTTAAAAAAATGCCCATGCCAAGGTCTCTTTCCCAGAGATTGTGATTTAATCGGCCTGCAGTGAGGCTTGGACATCAATATCTTCTAAAACTCTCCTGGGGATTTAGTGTGGAGAGCACCCATTCCCAGAGAAGGAGGGCAAGGGGCAAGACTGGGAAGAAAACACAGCACATTTCAAAGTTAAATGTAGCTTATGGTCATCGTAACCACAGGCTTTCTGTTACCCATGCCTTTATAACTTTATGCCATAGCATCATACATGTGACCTTGTAAGTCATAGTAAGAACAACAGATAATCCATAAATGAAACTTGTAATCACTTTTCAATTTCAAACACGATTCATTCATTTAGATAAGCCTCCATACTTTGATCAGGCAATGGCGTATTAAAAGTGTTAGTTGCCTCGGCTTTCTGTCGAGAAATGCATGTCTTATAGCCATGAGAATGCATTTCTATGCACTTGTGGTTACTTATGACTCTAATTAAAGCAGAACCTCTTACTTAAAGCAATAAATATTTAGCCACAGCAACCAAAATATAAACAAAACCATGATTCATGAATTTGCTTATTTGTGCTTCTCTGGGTACGGAAGTGAAGTGGCATTTTATGATGCATCAAGACAGGGGCAGGCTGAGGAAGACTCACCACGGCCCACGCAGAGGAACAGTGGCCTTTCTTGGCTGGGGCCCAAGGACCACGTTTCACTGAGTCAGAAGGGCAATGCAGCGAACAAGGAAATTCACAAATTTCTCCGTACAGAAGAATCACCAGAAGGGATCTCATCTAAGATATGGATTTCCGGGTCCTATCCCCAATAATTCTAATTTAATACATCTGGGGTAGGGCTCTGATTCTAGGTAATTCTGATGTCAGTGGTCCGAAAACCAGAGTTGAAGAAGTATTCAAGGAATAATTAGGAGGATGCCTTTGGGGGCAGGCAGGTCTCCAGTGCCACCCCTGCCAATCATGTGGCCTGGGGCAGAATTCTTACTCTCCCTCAGTCTCAATTATCTCCACCGGGAAGCAGGGAAGTGAATGTACAGTTGACCCTTGAATAACACAAGAGTTAAGGTACTGACTCCCGAGCAGTTGAAAATCTGGGCATAACCTTTGCCTCTCCTAAAAGTTAACTACTAATATCCTTAGGTTGACCAGGAAGCCTTACCAATAACACAATCAATTAAGACATATTCAGTATGTTATTTGTATTATAAACTGTAGACTTATAATAAAGTGAGCTACAGAAAAGAAAATGTTAGTAATAAAATCCTGGCCAGGCACAGTAGCTCATGCCTGCAATCCCAGCACTTTGGGAGGTCAAGGAAGGAGGATGGCTTAAGCCCAGGAGTCTGAGAACAGCCTGGGCAACATAGTGAGAACTTGTCTCTACAAAAAACAGTAAAAAATACAAAATTAGCCAGGTGTGGTAGTTTCAGCTGCTTGGGAGTCCTAGCTGGTAGTCCAAGCTACTTGGGAGGCTGAGGTGGGAGGATCACTTGAGCCCAAGAGGTTGAGGCAGCAGTGAGCTCTGATTATATCACTGCCCGCTAGTCTGGGCAACACAGCGAGCAAGCGAGTGAGTGAGAGAGAGAGAGAGAGAGAGAGGAGAAGAGAGAGAGAAGGAGGGAGAGGGAGGGAGAGAAAGAGAGAGAGGGAGGGAAAGAAAGAAAGAAAGAAAGAAGGAAGGAAGGAAGGAAGGAAGGAAAGAGAGAAGATCAGAAGAAAGACAAAATATAGTCTACGGCCATACCACCCTGAATGCACCCCATCTTGTCTGATCTCGGAAGCTAAGCAGGGTCGGGCCTGGTTAGTACTTGGATGGGAGAACACCTGGGATACTGGGTGCTGTAGGCTTAAATAAAAATAAAAAAAAATAATAAAAAATAAAAGTAAATTTAAAAAAAGACAAAATATATTTCTGTTCACTAAGTGGAAGTGGATCACCATAAAGGTCTTTATCCTGGTTGTCTTCACGTTGAGTAGGCTAAGGAGGAAGAGGAGGAAGAGGAGAGGTCGTCTTGCTGTCTCAGGGGTGGCAGAGGCAGAAGAGCATTCATGTATTAAGTGGACCCATGCAGCTCAAATTCATGTCATTCAAGGGTCAACTGTACTTATAGGGCTGCGGGAACAGTTATATAAGATAGTGCACATAAAGCTCTAAGCAAAGG